TAGTAGACTATTCACAGAGAATTTTCCTCCTGGCGATAGAGTTCATATAGTTTAAGAAGTCGATCAAGGGTAACACTGAATTCTGTTAGTGGGTGAACTTAGAATCCTCGGGAGTACATTTTGGAAGCTCATCATCCAAGATAAATTTCTTTTGCTCTTCCACCCGACTCAAAAGGTAAATATAGTTTTGTCTCACGTGTTCAGCAGGTGTTCAAATTCTGCCCACTCTCCCTTTGAAACAACTCAGATTTCTCTTTCTCTCATTTCTACGGTTGTTCCTTTCATTGAGGCCCAGCCTTATTGATCTCTTTAGCTAGAAAAGTCTTCACATTTTTTCTTGTTTCCAGTCACATCAAATTTAGACTTTCTCAGTCTGGTTTTCAAAGCCTATCGTGTCAGAAAATAACCTAAGTGTCTATCAGGAGATGAATGGATAAAGAAGGTGTGGTACATACATACAGTGGAATACTATTCAGCCATTTAAAAAAAGAAAGAAATCGTGCCATTTTTGAAATGAGGGCATTATGCTGAGTGAAGTAAGTCAGAGAGCAAAACAAATACCGTACTATCTCACTCATATGTGGAATCTTAAAAAAAACCAACAAAACCCCAAGCTCATAGTTACAGAGAACAGATTAGTGATCGCCAGAGGTGGGAGTTGGGGCGGGGGGGGGGGGGGATGGGAAATGGGTGAAGGGAGTCAAAAGGTACAAACTTCCAGTCATAAATAAGTCATGGGGATGTAATGTACAGCATGGTGACTAGAGTTAATAACGCTGTGTTGCCTATTTGAAAGTTGCTAAGGGAGTAGACCTTAAAAATTCTCATCACAAGGAAATATCTGTAACTCTGTATAGTGACAGATGTTAACTAGACTTATTGTGGTGACCATTTCACAGTATATACAAATATTGAACCGTTATGCTGTACACCTGAAACAAATATAATGTTGCATGTCAATTATACCTCAATTTAAAAAAACATCCTGTCATATCAAATCTGACTCCCTCCTACTTTTCCAACTGTTCCCTGACATTCCCTAGTACAAGTTTTCTGCTCTGGTTAGGCCAGCCTCCTTCCCGTACTTCTAACCTTGCCACATGGTTCTGCCTTCATGCTTAAGTTCATGTTCGCAATTAGCACTTCATTATCTTTAGGATTGTTTTGTGTGTGTTGCCCCACCCCCAGTGTCATACTTCTCTGTAGGGTTGTACACATAGTCTGTCCATGTCTGATCTGAGGGAGCTGCATACATCTTGACTTATAGGTAATCTTTTATAGAAGCACATGTGCAAATTAACGAGGCTATGTTTTGTAAAAAATAAATGTTTCAGGGACTTCCCTGGTGGCGCAGTGGTCAAGACTCCGCACTCCCAACGCAGGGGGCCCTGGTTCGATCCCTGGTCAGGGAACTAGATCCCACACGCCTGCCGCAGCTAAGAGTTCACCTGCCACAATTAAGGAGCCCGCCTGCCGCAGCTAAGACCAGAAGCAACCAAATAAATAAATAAATAATTAAAAAAAAATAATAATAGATGTTTCAGAATTAATATACAAAAGACTGTTGTTCTCCAGAGGCATAACCTTGGTATTTTCTCCACCGCTACTCACTAATTCAAAAACTTTTTAGAACCTCTTTGTTTCATTCAGAAGCCAGTGAAAATATCCAGCGCGTTCAATACGTATTTTTAATAAACTCCTTAAAGAAATTGTTTTAAAAATCAATTGCTGTTAACCTATTTTCACTATGTGGGAGGTTTCAAAGGGGAAAAAAAAAAATCTGAACAGAGCGAAGACTATAGTAGCCCTAGTGCTGTGGGTGGGTACCAAGAATGGCTTCCTCGAGGAGCTGAGTTTCAGGCTTTTGAAGAAGGCGCGGGAATCTGCCAAGCAGAGGGGGGAAGAAGAGGCAGGTGGAGAAGGGCATTCTAGGCAGAATGGACCCCGTGGGCAAACCATGCAGGCATGGTGGCCTTGGGAACTGTAACTAGCTCCTTAATGTGAGAGCAAGAGTGACCTGGGCTGGAGGGGTGGGAGTCGTGTTGATGTGTGGAAGTGTGTGGGGAGTTAGGAGGGTCCAGTGGAGAGAAATGTGGAGGCCAGAGCACAGAAGACTTGTGTGCCTTACTGTAGTTTGTATGTTACCCTTCAGGGTTCCATATCACAAGGCATTTTTTGTGATCTTTGCCACCATGGTACCTGCTTTTAGTGTCTCACCTATCACACTATGTCATTAGTATTTATAATACTTCCCTGCTCTTTATTCCTTTTTTAATCCCCAGGGTCACACCCAGTGCCTGACACAAAGTAGTTATTGAATAATGAAAACCTGAAATATTTCAACTATGCAGAATGAATGATAAAAGTTTGTCATAAAAGGTTTGCACACAGAGGTCCTAGAAATGCCTTCCTTGGTCTCTTGTAAGAAGTGGTATCACGCATTTGTCATCTAGGATAATTACTGCCATTCCTCCTAGAGGCAAACCAAAGAGGTGAGGATTACCTAAGTGCTTGCTTACTTCATACCCTGAGGCGCTCCAAAGCAAACGGAAATCTTGGGTTGGTGTTAAGGTGTATGCTGACACCATCTAGTGGTGATTTTGAGACCTAACCGAATTGAAAGTTTCGTCTTTAACAACCAAACTTCTGCTGAAACATTGTATTTAATATCATATTTTGTTAAGCCTTTGCCACTGTCTTCAAGTTCATAGCTACTCAGTGGCTGTGTTCATAGTTGTTCATAGCTGTTGTGTTTTACAGCTGTTGTGTTCATAGCTGTTGTGTTTTACAAAGATGCTCAGAAGTTTTGATAAACAAAACATTCTATTTGAAATAAAATGGAATTTCAGAGAAAGTACATGATTGGACGGACCTGGAATCTTAGAACAACATTCTAATCTCATATGTTATTTGCTGTCTCTTAGTCACAGAGTTCCAGACTCATGAGGCAATTTTTTTTTTCTAACATCCTTCTCCTTCTCTTTACTTTTCTGTTTGGACAGTGTTTTTTTTAAACTAAAGAATTTTGTCCTTTCAATTCTTATCTTTGAAGATAGCTGTAGAGCATGTCCTTCAAATTTTCAGGTTAAGCCAGAAAGGCTTAGCTTCTTATTATTTTTGTGGGTCTTTGAACATGAGTTATGTAGACATTTTGCTTATGACTCGTGTTGATTGACAGCTGAGGCAGGGAATCAAATTAGGATCACTGCATTAATTCCTCGTGTGTAGGGATTGCCGTGATTTTCATAGCAATGTTAATAAAATAAAAGCATTCATTAAAAATCTCCTTCATGCAGAACATAATTGGATGCATAAGATTAATTGCTTTTTTTTTTTTTTTTAAGTACTAAATGCCAGAGGGAGGGAAGGGTATAATTATCTCCATTTTACAGGTGAAGGAGGCTGAAACTCATGGAGGTTAAAGCAGCTTTCATAGGCTCGCTGCTCTTAAGTTTGCAGTGTGAACCTTTGGACTCAGGTGTCAGGGATTCCAGGGTTGGTGCATTTAGCTACCATGTAAACTTTCTGTCCAACAGCGGGGAGGATGCAAAGGAAAACCACAGGAGAAAAATGCACAGAAAACCTTAAAGTGGTCAGTAACTCTTATTTAAACATACACTACTTGATAAAAATCTTGGCCTTTATTTATTGTTGACATTATCAGCATGTCTGTTTCCACTCCTAATTATAGCCGACAGCCTTCATTCCAGTGTAAAGGGAGTTTAAGGGTATCGCCCTTTGGTCTCAAATGCTTTAGTTATTTCTCTGCTGCTGTGACTCTACAACAGGAGTGCTCAGAGACCCGGCCGCTGTCCATGGACCAGCATTCTCCCGTCCTGGTGTTCCCTTCTCCCAGCTCTTGGAAGCGAGCTCTCTCTGCCTGTGCCTCTCGGCAGGTGGAGAGTGTAGTGGCAGCCACTTGTGTAGAAACGTCCATTTGGGTGTTGGCCTCACTCTGGTTCATATGTGTTTATATGTGTGAGTTAATGTGTCGATGGTAAATATATATGGGTTTTCTAAATTTTATATTGAATTTTTTCTTTGCAAATATAGACACGTGATTTTGCGCAATTGGAGTAATATCATGTATGCTGGGGTTTCTTTTTCTTAGTTCCTCTGGCTTTCCTTCTCATCGCCCTAAGACATAATATGCAGCCTTCCATGCTCATGTAATCATTTACAAAATATATGTACAATTTATATACATATCATATACATATACAGGGTGGATTTTTTAGCTTCTTAAATGTGCGAGTGGTGGGATCATGTTATACTTCTTAAAATACACGTACCTTTCAACCAGCTATCCCAGTCCTGGGAATCCGTTTCACAGAAATAAAGGCACTGATTTGTAAGATTATGTGCCAGGAGTACTTTCTACAATATTGTTCATAATAGCAGGAAGGAAGGGGGGATGATTGAATAAATAAGGGTATATCTGCACTGTGGAATTTTAGGCAGTCATTTTTTTAAAAAGTGAATTCGATTTATGCCAGAAATGTCTCCTCTACCATTCTCTCTGGTATGGATTTTGCTGTGTTTATTTTATTCCTTTACTGACATTTTAGTGGGATTTCAAGAGGGAGAAGAAATAAACGTATTTGGACAATTTTCTTTACAACTGAAAATCTGACTAAATGGATTTCAAGACCTGCTCCGGCTTCTGTTATCTTTTCCTCCTAGAGCTCTAAGGTTGTCTTCAACTCTTTTTATTTCTTACCCTTCTGAATTTTGGAAATTAGGAAATCCCCAGCCTCCAAAGTATTAAATTCTTTCTTCTCTCTTGGCTTCTAACCCCTGCTGGTCTTTTCTACCAGCAGCATCCAAAGGAACCCAGCCTCAAGCATTATCTCTAAAAGTAAACTCAGAACCGTGAAATGTCACTTCAGAAATAGTCCCTGGGATGTTTGGATTTTCTTGGAAATGAGAGACTCATAGGAAAGAAATAGCATCTCTGTATAACCACAGCTCCATCTTCCTTTTCTTTGGCTTCTGTGCAGATTTGAAAAAGGGCGCATCTACACATTCATTGGAGAAGTCGTGGTCTCTGTGAATCCCTACAAGTTGTTGAACATCTATGGGAGAGACACAATCGAGCAGTACAAAGGGCGTGAACTGTACGAGAGACCTCCGCATCTTTTTGCCATTGCTGATGCTGCTTACAAGGCTATGAAGAGGCGATCAAAGGACACTTGCATTGTGATATCAGGTATTTAAGGAGTTCCCTGTTCTTCCAAGGTCAATATGTATTTAACTTACTTGGTACTCAAGGGTCCGAACAATTGATTAGGTCTTTTTTGAAGTTAAAAGCTTAAGTAATTTTATAGGAGAAAAAAAAAATGTAATGCCAGATTATTTCTATCATTTCTGAGCATCTGCTAATCTTGGTTCATTTACACATTACATATTATGTTTGGATGGACTTCTGGTCAATTTTGTAGACTGAGGTGACATGGGAAATTCATCCTCCCATCTCAAACACGGAAAACTACTGGATAAGAATCTAACAGAAATTATTTTAAATAATCACAGAATGAAACCAGGAAAATGGAAATCCTGAGGTACCAAAAAGGAAGAATGAACTCCAAGTCAGACTGGTGGACGGGAGCTAGTGACCAGGGACATACAGAGGCCTGGGGGCTGGAAACAGGCTCTCAGAGCTGGGGGCCAGAGCTTTAAAGGCTGCAGAGAGGGCGTCAGGTGACAGACCCTGGGTGCCCAAGCACAGGAGCCGAGCCCTCTCTGTAAAGCTGAGCTCTTCAAGGAATCTTGTGTAGTGAGTTGGGAACAAGAAAATATCTGCCCGCTGACCCAGGATACCCTCTCCCAAGCTGTGGGACTTTTTTTTCGTGCTAATAATACCTCATATTCGCATGAGTGGCTTTATACTTTTACAAGGCTTTGGTGATCTTTATTCCATTTTGGTTATCAGTGCAGCTCTCTGATTGGTAAGTAGGACAGTTGTGTTTCTACTTCACAGATGAGGATATTAAGGGTCAGAGAAGTGAGGCAACTTAGTGTGGGAGTTGAAGAATTATATCCTAAGGCTACATTTTATTAAAACAATTTTTTTTTTTTTTTTGCGGTACGCGGACCTCTCCCGTTGCGGAGCACAGGCTCCGGACGCACAAGCTCAGCGGCCATGGCTCACGGGCCCAGCCGCTCCGCGGCATGTGGGATCTTCCCAGACCGGGGCACGAACCCTTGTCCCCTGCATCGGCAGGTGGACTCTCAACCACTGCGCCACCAGGGAAGCCCTAAAACAAATTTTGAAGGCAGTATTATTGCCTGATTGTAAAAGGTGGCGGGGTGGAGCGGGAGGCAATTTTATAAGTGTATAAAGTGAAAGCACAGAGTCCCTTTCCCTTGAATACCTTGTTCCCCCCCCCAAATTCTAGCAGTAACGCCTGTGAACAATAAAGCATTTATCCTTTTAAACATTTTCTCAGTGTGTGCAAATACGTATAGTCACACATGCATATGTAATTATAAATATAGAATTATAGAATTACGTTATAACTGCTATTACATAACTTGTTTTTCCATTTAACGATGTCTAGTGGACATCTTTTCATTAGAGTACCTATAGAAGTAGTGCATTCTCTAACAGTTGTGTAGCATGCCATTGAATAGTTGAATCATAATTTATTTACCCAATCCTCTACTGATGGGCATATTATTTTCAGATTTTAGCTATAACACATAGTGTAGTCTGCAGAAATAGTCTGAAAACCTTTGAAGATTATCATTGGATTATATTAGTATTTTTAGTATTCCTAGAGTATAAAATTCTACAAGTGGAGCTTTGGGTCACAAGGGATAAACATTTAAAAATCTGGGTTGATAATTCTAAACTTATCCCCCTTCCCCTCCCTATGTCAGTTGTCATGCTTTTTCTGTGACACCATATGTCTGGAGGTTGCTGCTTTTTTTTTTTTTCACTAAAATTGCTCTAATTTTCTGAAAAAATTATTTCATCCCCATTAAGATTTTTTAAAACTCTGCCATAGAAAACAGTTATATGAATTTTGCCATGGCCACTGTTTGTCACTTTCTTGTTTCTTTTCCACTGGACTTCAGAGTCACTAAGTACTAAGGCTATAAGGAATTAGTTTACCACGTTTTATCCCTCGATATTTTTACTAAGTAAATCTTGAACTGTAATCTGTTATTTTGCTTCTACAATAGTCTGAAGTTTTTCAAATGTTCAGGTCTGTTAGAACCAATCGCATATCGACAGGATGAAATAACTCAACCCCCCCCCAAAAAAACAAACAATGAAACATAAGGGATTTCAAATGAATAACTAATGTCAAAACTTGAAATTATTCTATTAAAAATTATTCCTCTTGGTTTAAGTTGTACTCTTAAGGCTTGCACAATTTTTCCCCAGGGGAAAGTGGAGCTGGTAAAACGGAAGCCAGTAAGTACATCATGCAGTACATTGCGGCCATCACCAACCCCAGTCAGAGAGCGGAGATTGAAAGGTAAGGGCAGTCTAACAATGGGAGGAAGTTCTCACTGGAGCTTCATTTTCTATACAGACTTGACTAGGTTAGGCCTAAACTCTGATATGCATGGAGTGTTTATTAATGGTTAAATTACTTTGATTCCCTTCCTGCATACTGTCCCTGTACTTTCATTTATATCCCTCGATTTCTATATTTGTTTTTAATAGAAAGATACTGCTAAGGTGATTCTGGTCTATCGCCGCAGCCTTCAGTGTCACGTGTGCTCAGCAAAGATGTTATACTTTACTGGTAGTTGTATTGTTCAAGCTCTCACAGGTTTCTTGCTCTTTCTACTATACCAGCATCTTTTGTAAACTGTGTTCTACACTCCCTAGAGTGAAAGGGGGACTCTGGGAGGCAGATCCACGCTGTTCCATCATTGCTAGAAGCAGAACCTTGGTATTAGAAGCTCTGCATAGGGTTCATTTCCTGAACGGGTTTCAGGCCACATCATGCTCTGCTCACAGCAAGATGAGTGATAAAGCAGGTACGCACTGTCTGGGGCCCAGTGTTCAGCAGAGTGTCTGGTACGTGGTATTTACATAGTAAATATGTAAGGAATGAAGGGATGGTTTTTTTTAAAAAATAAGAAAGTAGGAAGTGTGGCTATAAAGCAACATGACTTGACTTTCTTATGTGGTGTGGACTTTTTGAAGAGGAAAAAATAAGAGCTTTCCAAAGTTGCTACTTTGAGGCTCAGTATTTATTTACAGAAGAGTCACATTCCGTATAGACATCTCAATCTTCAGTTTTATGAATAGAGAGAAAGGAAGCTGGGTTGGTCTGAAAGCAGAGAATTTGGACTAGACTACCCTGCATGGGTAGAATTGGGCTAGATTGCCAGGTCAAAAGAGGTATTTTTCTTAATAGTGATATATCCCCAATTCTGATTCTGACTTTGCAACCTAATAGGACAAGAACAAGGATATAAGTAAGTTTTTAAAATTTCCTTTGGAGCTGAGGAGAGTAACTGGCTGAGAACTAAATTAATTTTATTTCTAAACCCAGTTGGTACAGTGGAGTAAGGCATATTTACATTTACTAGTTTTTTTATTATCATTTTTTTTTTTTTGGCTGCGTTGGGTCTTTGTTGCTGCGCTCAGGCTTTCTCTAGTTGTGGCGAGCGGGGGCTACTCTTCGTTGTGGTGCGCAGGCTTCTCATCACAGTGGCTTCTCTGTTGCAGAGCACGGGCTCTAGGCGCGCGGGCTTCAGTAGTTGTGGTGCATGGGCTTAATTTCTCCACGGCATGTGGGATCTTCCCGGACCCGGGCTCGAACCCGTGTCCCCTGCATTGGCAGGCAGATTCTTAACCACTGTGCTGCCAGGGAAGCCCCATTTACTAGTTTTTTAAGAGCATATCTTACCACGGTTTTATAGACACTTTCCTTTATTTACCATAAGCAAGCAGTTTCCCTTGCCCCAATTATAATTATACTTTCATTCATGAGGAGATAAATTTGTAGGGTCACTTACAGTGGTAGTGGAAGGACCAGGCGATCTGGTACATCAGGTTATTTCGGCGATATGCCCATATAAGAGGAATTTTGTCAGTGAAATAGAAACAAAGACGTAAAGCCTAGAATGAAGTTAAAATACATCCACTGGGAGAGACTGCTCTATAAAGAGTTAGCATTCATCGAATAAAGAATGACTTAAATACCTGGTACCGAAGAGAGAGATTCCATACAGCTTCAAACGAAATGATGAGCAGTTTCTAAACTAATCAAGACCACATTTATGATGTATTAACCAAATGCAGTAAATTTCACTAGGCTTTATAAGCAAGAACTTTAAAAAATGGAATCATTTTCTGTATCACCCGTTCTTTTCAGACATCTCTTTCTAGGATTTTTCTTTATGTAAATAAAATATGTTCGTTTTAAAAGAAAAACTAAAATTTACAGCATGATGTAAAACATGAAAGTTCCCTGAACTTGCACCCTACCTACCTCATCAACCTAGGTAACCATAGTGAAGTGTGCTGTACCCTCCAGATTTGTAAGCATTTACTAACACGTGTGTGTGTATGCACACACACATGCCCCCACACACGTGCACACCACACACACACACACACACAAATCCTGCAATACATATTATTTTGCAACTTTATCTCTCATTCATTAATGTATTCTGCACATCTTTCTATGTCACTACATATTATACTGGGAAACAAAAATTTATTTTTATCCATCCACATTGGTGGACATTTAGGTTGTTTGTAATAATATATTTTTTGATGTTACAAACAATGTTACAGTCAGCATCTTTGTACACAAATTTGCATGTCTTTTAATGAAATTTAGTTTCTTTAAAGCCCCGGCCTTTAAAACTTTTACAGTGACTTTCATTTATCTGTGTTAAAGAGTGAAGAATATGTTGCTTAAGTCCAACTGTGTCTTGGAAGCTTTCGGAAATGCCAAAACCAACCGCAATGACAACTCAAGCAGGTTTGGAAAATACATGGATATCAACTTTGATTTCAAGGGGGACCCTATTGGTGGACATATCAATAACTACTTACTGGAGAAGGTAAAAAGTGCTTAATTTCTGAGGGTAATGTTTGCAAATGCTGATTTTTTTTTTTTTTTTTTTTTTGGCCTAGAGTTGTGTTTTCAAATTGAGTTATAATTAACCTACAATATTAGTTTCAGGTGTACCATGTAGTGATTCAGTATTTTTATACATTCTAAAATGATCACCACGGTGAGACCAGTTACCATCCATCACCATACAAAGTTTACAGCATTATTGACTATATTCCCTGTGTACATTACCTCCCTGTGACTTATTTATTTTGTAACTGGTAGTTTGTACTTCTTAATCCCCTTCACCTATTTCATCCATCCCCCGCAACCCCATCCCCTGCAACCCCATCCCCTCTGGCAACCATCAAGTCGTTCTCTGTATCTATGAGTCTGTTAATGCTGAATTTTTTTTTTAAAACCTGATTATATTAGTAGAATTTCTTTCATCGCCCCAAAGTAGCTTTTAATGCTGTTCTCTGTCCCTTCCTGCTCCTCAGTTAGCTTTCTATGGCAAAATAATCTCTTTTTGTGTTCTCTTATTAGCACTTACAGTATCAAGCTGGGAAAAGTTATAGACTTTGTACGTAAAGGTTTAGGTGGGGGGGTGGGGTGAGGGGTGCCAACTTTTGGGTAAGGTTTAACAAAAACCTATCTAGGACTAATCACTTCTATTCCTTCTACACATCCTCCCATGTTTTTATTTTAATTGGCAATCTCGTTTTCTTCTAGTTTCTCTTTGTTCACTGCTTTATAGTAACATAGACGTACTTTGTGATCTTGCAGCCTAATTATGAAGCATGCTGCATTTGGTGTGTGAAAACTTAGAGTGTGTTTTTATCTGCCCATGTGAATGATAGGCCCAATTTGTAGACGATTCCAGTTAAAACTCCTCTTGGGACTGCCAGAGAGGTTGTGTCCTAACTAATCTTGAGTAGATTCGCCTGGTTATTACAGTTGAGATTGAACTTTACTAGGTTAAGTCTCCACCTTGAATTGTACTCAGATTTGAACTGACATGCCTTCCCAGTTAAGTGTTTTCCATCTCAGTCACACCATAGCAATCTTTATGGTAGCAGAATGCAGTATAAATCTTATTTTTGTTTGTTAAACTGAAGTCAGACTGTTAAGGAAATCTTGTTTTATCAGAGTCAGTTGAAAAATGACAGGAAGTGCCAGTTATTATCAGTCTTTTTTCCAGAATGTTTCATGGCTTCACTTTATGTACATGCTCAATCAAAAGAATCCCCTTGAATGAACATACATTTTGAGTCCTCTCTTAAGAGCAGTCTTTCTGAAGCCATCTAAAGCAGAGGTCTCTGTATATGGATTTTGTTCAGCTCACTTTATTACAGGATATAAGGCATTGCTCTTTGAAATGCCAGCAGACCCTCAGGAAGGGAATGTTGAGAAGATTCCTCCCTAAACATTCCTTCCTATTCTCCCCACTTGCAATCCCCCCACCCAAAAAATTTCCTCTTTAGGCTCTAGGTTTAAAAAATCAAAATAACTTCATTTTCAGAAAGTTTAAGGAACTCTGTTTTTAAAAGAGTGAAAAGAATTGTCAAAAAATTGCACAGAAAACCCCATAGAGGAGATCTAGTTTTAGGTTGGTCCCATCCGTGCGGTCTTTAGGACATTTCAGTGCACTGTTGATACAGGATTCCCTGGGAAAGTGGCTCTCATTTTCTTTTAGGAGTACATTCTCAGATTAATGATCTTTTAAAAATTTATTTTACTGAAGTATAGTTGATTTTTACAATGTGTTAATTTCTGCCATACAGCACAGTGATTCAGTTATATGTGTACATTCTTCTTCATATCCTTTTCCGTTATGGTTTATCACAGGATATTGAATATGGTTCCCTGTGCTCTACAGTAGGCCCTTGTTGTTTATTCATTCTATATTATATATTCTATAATAGTTTGCGTCTGCTAATTCCAAACTCCCAATCCATCCCCCCGATCCCCTCTCCCCTTTGGAGATCACAAGTCTGTTCTCTATGTATGTGAGTCTGTTTCTGTTTTGTAAGTAAGCTCATTTGTATTATTTTTTAGATTCCACATATAAGTGATATCATATGGTATTTGTCTCTCTCTTTCTGACTTGCTTCACTTAGTATGGTAATCTCTAGGCCATCCATGTTGCTCCAAATGGCATTATTTCATTCTTTTTTATGACTGAGTAGTATTGCATTGTATATGTGTCCCTCATCAGATTAATGATTTTAATGTGCTTTTTTTTTTTTTTCCAGTCTAGAGTGATTGTGCAACAGCCAGGAGAAAGAAGCTTTCATTCTTTCTATCAGGTTAGTAATCTGTTATGCAGATAATCAACCATTTGCTCAGTTGTGCAGGAAATGGATGTTTTTATTTGGGGCTCTCTCCTGTCCTGTGCCTCCCATGCCTCCATTGGCCCGCGATACGTTACACATGTGTGCACACACGCATACACCCTACCCCGTGGGCTTCTTCAGAGACTTGACGAGCATGGCTGTTATAAAGAGCTAGCAGGTGGTTAACCAACCAGACAGCTGCCTTAGTTGAGCATCCCTTGTGTTTCTTTGCAGTGTAGGTAACATTTTAATGACCCTAAAAGCTTTTGAAATGGTACATTCTGAATATGTTAAATTAATTTTGTATTATTTTTGAATTGAAGCTTTTGTTCCCATATTGGGGTGTTCCAGAGATGGGAATAGAAATTCAGGTTGTTTTCGTTAAAAAAATCAATTTTAAAAATCCAATAGTTACATCTTTTCAGGAAACCAAAGTGTGCAGTTTAATATAGAGGATTTAAATGTATTGCCTTCTAAAATGCATGTTCTACGTAGAAGGACTATGTGTATTGTATTTGTGTTTTTGTTGACAATTCGCCATGCTTCCAATAAACTAGCTTTCTACCAAATATAAGAGTTCTGTTCGTTTCAGGAACCTGTAACTTTTTCCGCACTTGAGTGAAAGTGTTGGCATTTGTCTCTGTCCGACACTACAGTCCTGGTTACCCAGTTGTCCTTTCCTGGGATATAGAGATGGATGAGGAGAAGCTGTTTGTTTCCAGTGTGATTCAACATGTGACTGGCCGCTGACACCTCTTAGTTCTGAGGCAATACTGACGTTTTCTGAATTTGAAACATCACCCTATGCTGCCCAGATAACAAGGCTGCTGAACGCGTGACCACCACAGAGCGCAAGCTCCTGTTTTACAAATGGCCGCAGTCAAAGCAAAACCTTTCATGCCAGTTATGTTGTGAAAGGGCTAAGACTTTTAAAGGAACTCTCCTCATGACTGTATAACATCATCACTGATGACGTTGAAGCCATTACCTTCGAGGTTTAAAAAAATAATCTTCAAAGCTAGGAACAGGAGGACCCAAGTGAATTAGCCCAGAAAATGAAAAAAAGCTAGGCTACCAGTAAGAATACATGGTGTGTTGGGTTCAGGATGTATTTTGCTAACTTATTTTTAATTAAATATTTTTCAGCTACTCCAAGGAGGTTCAGAGCAGATGCTCCGCTCTCTGCATCTCCAGAAATCCCTTTCATCCTACAACTACATCCATGTTGGAGCCCAATTAAAGGTAAGAGTTTCCTTTTTGAGATGATTCAGAAATAGAATCAGAGAATCAGAAGGGACATTAAATAATTATCTGGTCCAGGCAGCTGCCTTTAGGCAAATGAATGGCTCTTTTATTCTATTCTATTTTTAAAATTCTCAGGGACGGAGATTCAATATATTATTGACTCAGTAACTTTGCTTAATTACCCATTACTGTATTTTATCACCATCCGATAGGAAAGAAGTTTCTCTCTTATGATCTTGTGGGGTTTTTAAAAATTTTTAATCCTATTACTTTTATTTTGACACTATAAAAATATTGTTACAAGTAGGAAATCCACCGCAAAAGAAGGTACCATGTCATTTGGCCAAAGGCAAGTTGGTAAGACAAAAGAAAGTTTAAAAGCACTGTGGTTAAAAATCAATCAATCAATCAATCAATAAAAGCACTGTGGTTGAACATGGATATCAAAGATTGCCATTCACTATTTTTTCCAATAATGATTTTGATGTACTCTAGAAATAGTTTTGTGACCCTTGGAGCATTTCTATTCAGCCTTCAATTTTTTTCCATTTTTTTTCCCCTTCCTTTGCATGTAAGCCCTTGCTCACACATATGCAGATCTTTTTGCCCTTTTATTTCTAATTAGTTTTCTGCTATATATATAATACAATTTCTGCTAGCCATTTTATAGCTAATCCTAGTAATATAGTAGCTTATTGATGATAGGTTATAAAACAGTAATTGCAGTGTTATCCAATTTTGTTGGGGGAAAGGTGTGTGTGTGTGTGTATACACACACACACACGCACACACATAGGCATACACACACACACACACATATACACACACAGACATACATGAAATAAGATTTGGAGGGAAATGCACCAGGGTTTTACTTGTTTAACTCTGGATGGATGAGATTATGGATATTTGTGTTCTGCTTTTTCCGCATTTCACATCTTTTCTGTAATTGAAAATGCACAGCTTTTGTAGTTGGGGGGAAAATAAAAGAATTTATAAAAGGAAAGAATCTAGATGTGGGAGGTGTTTCTTTTTTTTTTTTTGTAATTTTTGCTCTTCATCTTAAGCTAATTATACCTGCATTACTGGTTTAATGGTATTTTTATTATTGTGCATATAAATAAATGATATTTAGCGTTTTGCAATTAATTTTCCATTGTTTGAAATTTAAGTTGCATGAATTTTTTACTTTTATAGTCATCTGAGAACAGGATGTTTGGCTGAAAATTAATTGAAAGCAAACAAAACACCAGAAGGCAATACTCCAGCTTTCTGAGAATAGGTCAGAGGTACTCTAAAGATGTATAAAGGATTGTAAAATCAACACTTAAAAAGCCAGTGACTGAAAATATTCTTTTTAAATCAAATTGTCTTATTGACCAAGTGGCTTTTGACCCGGTCATGTAGAGCCCCACAGAAAGCAAGCATTAAATAAACATTTAGCCTTTTTTTCAAAGCTAAATTTAGCTTAGGTTCCCTTTCCATCAAAGTTTTCCATTCCTATTCCTCCCCCTCCTTTTTTTCTGCCTCTCTAATAAAAACAAAGAAGCAATACATGATCACAGTCAAAACCTAAAATAAAGATGAACCAAAAGGAAATAAAAATATGCTAAAGCTCACCATGCAGAGATAATTATTGATAACAGTTTATGTGTATATATTTATTCATGGACTCATAACAAATCCTGATGAAATAAGCCTTTTATTAGATTATAATGTAATCATTAATATCTTCCCATGTAAACAAATATAAATTAATAGAATGATTTTAGTAACTATAAAGTATTGCACTCTGTGTATCATACTTTTACTTAGCTATTCTAAAATATAGGACTCATGTACAATTACGACCCTGTGGGTTGCAGTAAGGTAAGACCCAATTAAAAGTCACCCAAAACAATAAGGAACTTGGTTATCTCACGTAACAAGAAGCCCTAGGATGGGGCAGTTCCAGACGTGGTTAATTCCGTGCCTTAACGGTGTTGATAGGGACCCAGACGTTCATTTGTTTCTCCCACTTACCAGTTCTACCATCGTCACTGGATCGGGCCGGTCTGCTACAGCTGATTTTCCTCATGGTCCCCAAATGACAGCAGCAGTTCTAGGAGTCACAGGCAGAGGAAACGTTCCTGGCCGTAACCCTTGATAAGCTAGGGAAACCTCATGTCTTATGGACCAGAATGGCATCACATGCCCGTGGCTGACCAATCACTTGGTAAAGGGAATAAGGTCCCTGTGATTTGTTTAGACCAATGAAGATTTACCTCCTGAGGCTGGCACCAATTCTGAAGAACGGGTGCACTCAGGGAGGGGTAAACAAATCAGGGTCCTATCAACAAGAAAGAGGCGGGGCTGGGGAATGCCTGTTAGGTAAGCAGCTGACAGTTGTCCTCAGGAGGACACGTAGACTTTGTGTCTGGTTTCTTTGCAGTTTCGACATGGTTGCAACATCTAGTAATAGTAATATCTGATACTCAAGTGCTTTTTATGTGCTAGGAGCTAGGGAGGTGCTTTATATAAGTTCTCATTCCATTCCCACAACAACCCTGTAGGAAAGGTGTTATTATGCCCATCGTACCCACGAGGAAATTGAGACTTTACAAGGTTGACTGTCTCACTCAGAGAGCTGGGAGGGGGAAGAGCTTGCCTGGTTGTGTCCTGGACGTTAGAGGAACACGTGCTCATCAGGCAGAGGGGAATCTTCCCTGTGCTCTTCCTTGGCAGGTGAGCATCAGGCCAGATGTCTGTGTCCCGGCCAGAGCAGAAACTCACCAAGGAAGAGATCAGGCCCTGCGCAGGTGCTGCTTTGGGAAAACTGCTAAGATAGGCAGTTACCGTTGCTTTATTGTAAATTTTATTGACACACTTGTATTTCCAACCTGAGGGCTACAGATCCTCAAGGCAGGCGATTTATCTTTGAACCCCCGTCTTGGTCTAGCTGGGCTGCTACAACAGAAATACCATAAACTGGGGTGCCTTATACACAACAGAAGTTGATTTTCACAATTCTGGAGGCCGGGAAGTCCAAGATCAATGCACCTGCAGAGTCAACGCACGCTTCCTGGTTCAAAGGTGGTGCCTGCTTGCTGTGTCCTCACAGGGCAGAAGGACCAAGGGATCTCTGGGGTCTCTTCTCTATGTGTACCAATCCCATCGTAAGGGCTTCACCCTCAAGACCTAATCACCTCCCAGAGACCCCACCTCCTAACACCATCACCTTGGGGGTTAGGATTTCAACATACGAATTTGGGGGTTGGGGGACAGACATTTATTCTACGGCAGCACTTCTGTGCCATTTAAAGATCTGACTTGCTGAATGTTTGTTGAATGCCTGAAAAAGTGACGTGATAGTCCCAGACCATTTCCTAGCTTGCTGAACGATCAAGGCAGGCCCCTTGGCTTTGGGAGGCCCGCTCTTCCCCACCCGTGGAGTAGAAAGCCTGACCGTACACATGTGGGAGTGTTGTTTCCAGCCAGGACAAGACTAATTGTGGAACAGAAAGCCACAGACGACAGTAGGTAGCCAGGCGTATGTCTCGGAGGCTCCGTCAGTCAAGAGTTTCCATTTGTGGTCTCACATGTCATGCCACTTCCTCCACCCATCCTGGAGCTTCTCTGAGCCAGCTCAGGACTTGCTTCCACACCGAAGTTTCCAGAAATGTTCCTGGTGCTTGTCTTAGGTGACGGCGACTCTCACAGTTGGGCATTGTGGGTGCTGCGTTATGTTTCTACCCCCGAAACCATTTTTATTTTCTTTGAATACCCATCATCCCTTCAATGACTTACTCCAAAGACATCAAGGCCTTGGCTACACTTGAATTTAGTCTCATAGTTTTTGGATGTTAATGCTCACATGCAGTGTCTGTGACCTCAGTTTCCTGTTTTCATTCCTAGTCGTCTATCAATGATGCTGCAGAATTCAAGGTAGTAGCTGACGCCATGAAAGTCATTGGCTTCCAGCCCGAGGAGATTCAAACAGTGTATAAAATTTTGGGTACTATTCTTCACTTGGTGAGTGGGGACGCCTTTCGGAATTCTTCGCACCTCCCTGTGGGACTAGGATGTTCTTTCAGAAGGTTTGGGGTTTTGTAAAAAGTAATTTATGTAGAGAAAATTCCTCTGGCATTTTGAAGAACTTTACTCTATCTGTAGTTTCCTCCTACGTGTTCTAATAATATGAGGGATTTTCCAAGCCACCGTGGGTTTTGAGACTGTGGCTTTAGTTCGTTCACTGCCTTTCTGGTATGTCAGACTTCGAACTGGTTAATTTCAAAGGTAAAAGAGTTCAGCAGTCATGTGACCACCAGTGGGATAAGCTAAAATCTTTTGAACAGAGCAAATTTCTAAAGGCATTTGAAACATAGAATCATAGATTTCTAGAACTAGAATTTTGCTGATCTCATTTTATAGACTGGAAATGACTGGCTTAAAAGCACATCCAGTTCATTGCAGCCAACACCACGGACCACCCTGGCCCACTTACGCACAGGTTATTTTCCACACATCACACCAACCTTAGAAGTAAAGAACCATCAGTCAGAGTCCTTTCATTACTGTCTATACGATTAGAGATGTTGAAAGCATAATGAACATGCAACCTGGTAGTGAATGAGTGACAACATGGATACAAATCTGGAATAAAAACGACCTTTCGCTTTCCTGTGGCGAGATTTAACTCTTAAGTGAATCAGAAATACACAGGACCTATATGAAAAATATTATATAGCAGTATATAAACAATCTCTTAAATGTTCCTGACTAGGAAGACTTTAACATTCTAAACTGTCTCATTCTTTCAACTAGTTTTTAAATACGGTGCTACAATAATCCTTCAGAATCCAAAGAGGAATTTTGTTTTTCAGTTGACGTAATGATTCTAGAATTTACCTAGAACAATAAACATGTAAGAAGGTCGAATAAAATGTGTTAGAGTAGTAGGGTAGGGGGCGCAGGGGAGGGGAGGCACGACTAATTCCACCAGGTTTAAAATGATAGTAAAAGCCACAGATTAGTTCATGTGCTGGACACCTGGTAGGCGGCTAATAAGTATTTATTGCCTGTTGAATGAGTGGAATATAAACAGACTCAAAAACTTGGTGGAAATTAATATGTAATGAAGGTAATATTTCAAATCAGGAGGAAAAGCTAGACTATTCAATGAATGGTGTGTCGGAGCAACTAACCATCTGAAAATATAAAGTTAAATTCTTACTTTACACCACATACCAACATACATCCTGGTGGATAAAAAGCTTAAATGTAAGAATAGCCGTATGAGGAATAGAAGAAAACATTAAATATTCATAAAATCTTCAGAGTAGGAATGATCTAAGTATAACACCGAAGAAAAACCCTGAAGCTAATGATTCATAGATTTGACTACATAAAAACGTAAAATTTCCATCCATCAAAAACATATGCTGAAAATTAAAGTATAGATGAGTGTCTGGAGAAGGAAAAAATGCATAAAACACTAGGTTTTTATATGTTGAGATATTAATGTATTTAGGAAAATAGGCGCTCCAAACAAGGTCCCTTGGAATTCTCTCTTAAACTAGCAAATATATCCCTGACAGCGTGTTTCAGAATCTCACTGGAAGTGGTGTGTCTTGGTTTTTCTCTTCTGATACAGGGAAATTTAAAGTTTGTAGTGGATGGTGACATGCCTCTGATTGAAAATGGCAGGCTTGTATCTATCATAGCAGAATTGCTGTCCACCAAGACAGACATGGTTGAGAAAGCCCTCCTTTACCGGACGGTGGCTACGGGTCGTGATATCATCGACAAGCAACACACAGAACAGGAAGCCAGCTACGGCAGGGATGCCTTCGCTAAGGTGGGATTTTAAAGGCGCTGTGTCTGCCTTGTGAGGGTTCTGGTACCAAAATTTCTAACATCATGGGGAGGAGGTTGTTTCCATACACCACCAGTTCTCTGTGATGCCAGCTGGGTGTCCTACAGTTTAACTCGATTCTAACACTGTCTACCGGAGATAGTATCATAGTATCACACCCCACAGGTTAAGGGCTCAGTCCCGCAAGCCTGTCCCCCAACACACACACACACACACACACACACACACACGCGCGCGCGCATGCTTACCACCGGTGCTTCTGACCAACCAGCTATAGATGGGAAGTACCAACAGCCTCCTCCTTGGATTCCATTAATTGCTAGAGTGGCTCACAGAACTCAGGGAAACATTTACTTACATTTACCGGTTATTAAAGGATATGATAAAGGATACAGACCAACAGCCAGATGAAGAGATTTATAGGGCAAAGTCTGGGAGGGTCCCGAGAACAGGGGCTTCTGTCCCCGTGGAGTTGGCGTACATCACCCTCCCAGTGTGTGGATGTGTTCGCCAACTGGGAAGCTCCCAAACCCTGTACTTTGGGGATGTTATGGAGCTTCCTCATGTAGGCACGGTCAATTATTAACTCCATTTCCAGCCCCTCTTCCCTCTCTGGAGGATGAGAGGTGGGACTGGAAATTCCAAGCTTCTGATCATGGCTTGGTGTTTCTGGTGCCCAGCCCCCAGCTAGGAGCACACTCAGAGTCACCTCTGTAGAGTAAAAATGCTCCTAATGCTTTTATCACTCAGAAATTTACAAGGGTTTTAGGAGCCCCGGGTCAGGGGTGGGGTCCAAGACAAATATCAGAACAAGAGATGCTCCGAGTGTCCTTATCACTTAGGAAACTCCAAGGGTTTCAAGAGCTCTGTGCCAGGAACCAGGGGCAGAGACCAGTATATTTTCTATTATCTCACAGCCTGGTGTTGATCTCAGTTTCACTTTTAGTGAAATTCTATGAGGAGGTGTTCAGACGTTCCTGGAAAGTAGGTTAAGCCTTTTGAAACCAGAGTGGTACTTTTTGACCAGCACGGTCTCAGCACCCCATGGCTGTGAGCATCGCTGCCAGAAACATTCTCAGAAAAGCAGAAGCCGACTGACTGGGGAGGTCAGGGCCCCTCGCTTGCACAGGCCCCTTTTGTGGCCCTTCGTTTTGCTTTCCTCACTCGATAATGCTTCGTGCAAGTCTCCTTCAAGCCAACTGGCGGACCCATTGTTTTAGTGTCTGTGTGGTGATGGGACCATAATTTATTAACCATCCACGTCTTATGTCATTCACCTTGTTGCCTTTTTTTTGCCACTACAAACAATGCTGCAAATTCTTGTCCATCTTTCCTTACACACCAGTGCTTTTATTTCAGTTAGATGGCTTCCCAGGAATGAGCAGGTCAAAGGACACCCTGATCTGAAGCTTTAAGTGACTGATTTTCTGGGTGTACCGTGATACCTCATTGTTACTTTAGTTTTCATTGCTAGTGTATTTGAGCATCTTTTCCTATTTTTGTAAAGTATTTACATCTGTTCTGAGAACTGCTTGGGTATATGTTTGTACATTTTTCTTTGGGGCTGTTATCTTTTTTATTGTCCATTTGTAAGAGCTCATAACTTTAACCTATTGTCTGTTATCCATGTGGCAAATATTTTATTTTCCCAAGTTTACATTTTCTCTTTTTCTTGTTTGCTGGTTGATTAGGTTGCTACATATTCCATTTTTTTACTCTTGTAAACCTCTTGCTTGGTTTTTAGTCTTCAGAGGAATTCGAATTTATCCAAATGCAATGGAGAGTGGCATATTTTTTTTTTTTCTTTTTTTTTTTGTGGTACGCGGGCCTCTCACTGTTGTGGCCTCTCCCATTGCGGAGCACAGGCTCCGGATGCCCAGGCTCAGCGGCCATGGCTCACGGGCCCAGCCGCTCCGCGGCACGTGGGACCTTCCCAGACCGGGGCACGAACCCATATCCCCTGCGTCGGCAGGCGGATTCTCAACCACTGTGCCACCAGGGAAGCCCGAGAGTGGCATATTTTAAGCAGAGGCAGTGTCATCAAGTTTGAATTTTTAAAATGATGGCTCTGACCTTAGTATGAGAATCTTATGGGGCTCTGACCTTAGTATGAGAATCTTATGGAGCAGTGAGTAGGGCAAGGGTGGAAGCAAAGAGACCAATTAAGAGGATATTTCAGTAATCCAGGAGGATGACGATAGCAGCTTGGACAGGGAAAGTAGCAGTGGAAATGGGGAAAAGAGGATAATTTGAGACAAACTGTATCTGGAGAATAAAATCCACAGGACCTGTTGTTCTGGGGATGATGGAATCAAAGATAATTTCTGACATGGTCCAACCCACCTCTCCTGTCTCATTTCCTGCCATATTCCAGACTCGTTTCTCCCCTTTACCACATTAGACTTCTCTCAGGCCTTACATGTTGTCTTTATCCCTTTATCCTTCCAGCCACAGGGCCTCTGCACATGCTGTTTCCTCTGCCTGGATTGTTCTTCTCTCCCCTCTCACCTGGTTAACTCTTACCATCCTTCTGATCTCAGCCCACTTTCTCAGAGAAGCCATGCCTGGCCTTTCTGAACACTGAACAGGTTGAAGTCTCCTCACATCCCATGCACCTCATCTGTGCGTGCTTGTGTGTGATTTTCCTTCACTCTACTCCCTGAGCTCCTTGGAGACAGAGACAGTGTTCATGTTACTTGGTACAGTATCTCCCACAAGCTGCACAGAGCAAGTACCCAGCAAACATTTAATGAGCGAATGAATCCCCAAGTTTCTGTTTCTATTTATTTACGGTTAAAAGTTGGGTAGGAAGGACTTCCCTGGTGGCACAGTGGTTGAGAATCTGCCTGACTATGCAGGGGACACGGGTTCGAGCCCTGGTCCGGGAAGATCCCACATGCTGCAGAGCAACAAAGCCCGTGCACCACAACTACTGAGCCTGCGCTCTAGAGCCTGCGAAGCCACAACTACTGAGCCTGTGTGCCACAACTACTGAATTCTGCGCACCTAGAGCCAGTGCTCCTCAACAAGAGAAGCCATTGCAATGAGAAGCCTGCACGATGCAACAAAGAGTAGCCCCTGCTTGCCGCAACTAGAGAAAGCCCGTGTGCATCAACAAGGACCCAACGCAGCCAAAAATAAAAATAATTAATTAAATTTAAAAAAAATGTTGGGTAGGAACAGTTTTAGGAGGTGGGAAGATCAAGAGTCCAGACAGGACATAAGTTTGAGACAGCTGTGAGACATCCAAGAGTATTGTCAGGTAGGCAGTCAGACATGGGAGCCTGGAGCTCAGAGGAGAGGTCTGCATTCAGGTGATACGTTTGGGGTAATATTATATCACCGTCCTTTAACGTTGTATGAAATGACTTAAAGGGGAGGAGATAGGGAGTGAAGAGGAGAGGACTAGGGAGAGCTCCAGCTTTTAGAGATCAGGTAGAGGAAGAGACCTCCTAAAGGCCGCTGAGGAGGGGCAGCCAGTGAAATAAGAGGAAAACTAAGAAAGTGCGGATTCAGGACTTCCCTGCGGGTCCAGTGGTTAAGACTTCACTCTTCCACTGCAGGGGACGTGGGTTTGATCCCTGGTTGGGGAACTAAGTGCCCGCATGCCACCTGGCATGGCCAAAAACCAACCGACAAACAAGAAAGTGTGATATTACGAATCCCAGAGAGCAGAATGTTTCAAGACAAGAGTAGGAAATTGGGTTGAGTGATGCTGAGTATCTGAGTAAGATGTCCCTGTAGAGGTACAAGAAAGGGTCCATATAGAGGTGCTTGGGGTCCTTGATGAGCCATTTCAATGGAGTCATGAGAGAGAAGTGAAGACTGGAGTGGCTGGAAGCGTAAAGGGGGGAGGGGGAGGGGAGGAATGGAGGTGATGTGTATGGATGTGTGTAGGTGAAGAGAGCGGGTTGCTGGAGGGAGATGTTAAGGAAAGGTTTTCTAAAGATGTGACATTGCAGCGCACGTTTGTGTCAGGATGTGAATGTGTGTGAGTGTGTGGTGCCTTTGTCCCTGTGTGTGTTTGCGTGTGTATCCTTGTGCATTGACTGTGTATTTGATTCTCAAGGAATTTGAAATGGTGGCCTTTTGGCTCAGATCTTTATTTAGCATTATAAACCAATGTTTATATATTTAGAATCCATAGGGCATAGAACTCATTGGTTCTCTGCTTTTTATAGTTGATGAGATTAAAATAAAGCCATGAAGTGACTTATATGAGGCAGTAGGCAAATTATGGGTCTTAGCAGGGCACAGAAACACACCTAAGGAATGTTGTTGGAATTCAACACATGTAGTGAGCCATAATAATCTTTTAAAACTCCAACCATCATGCTACGTCGTATAATTTTTAAACAGATGATCTGCATTTTTCAGCTTAGAGGATTAACAGCTATGCTAAATGGTAAGGAGGAGGTCAGTACGAATTTAATTCAATAGGAATTTAAAACTTATCACAAACCCAAACAGGGGACTCATTTCCAATGGGCAAGAATTTACGGTGTCATTTTCATCACAGGCCATATATGAGCGCCTTTTTTGTTGGATTGTTTCTCGCATCAATGATATTATTGAGGTCAAGAACTCTGACACCACCATCCACGGGAAGAACACGGTTATAGGTGTCTTGGATATCTACGGCTTTGAAATCTTCGACAACAACAGGTAAACCGGATAAGGTACTGAAAACCCTATTGTTTATTTTTTTTTTATTTGTTTGAGCCTAATTGATTCCTTTTCTTGCAGCTTTGAACAATTCTGCATCAATTACTGCAATGAGAAGCTCCAGCAGCTGTTTATTCAGCTGGTCCTGAAGCAAGAACAGGAGGAGTACCAGCGGGAAGGGATCCCCTGGAAGCACGTGAGTGGACTCGTACAGACTGTTCACGATAACGTCAACTCTTAGCATCCTGGGTACCTGCTGATCTTCTTGGGTGCTTGAAACACCTAAACCTTAGCTTTCCTTTTCAGGGTATTGAAATATTACAGTTCATTTTCAGGGTCGATAGGTGGGATTTCTCTAATTTGGTCGACTGTCTGGTTGGTGCCCAGAAAAGGCTGAGTTGAAAATCAGTAAACTTACGTTCACTTTACAGCTGATGCCACGTAGTTTTTTTGATTCACATCTGTTAGAGTTTAGCATCATTTATAAGTTATTCAGGGCAGCAACTTATGCCTTCAATTGGCTGAACTTTGCTTCCAAACTGAGTTTCTTCCCCTTCCTTCTTTCTTTTTTTGCTCTTATTTCCCCTTTTTTCTTCTCCTACTTTGTAAGCCAAGTGGCATTTTATTGTCTTTGGTTAATGAGGTTCGTATTCCCTGAAACCCATGCGTGAAAACAGCTGTATTAACTTTGATTTCCATTTACTTTCCTTTGTGTCACACAACAGTTATCACCTCTCTTCTCCTGGCTCTCTGTGAACTTTGTATTTGTCACTAGTCCAATAAGATACAGCCAGACAGTATGATTGATGCAGGGTGCAATACCACAGATCACAGCTAAAAACATGACAGTTAGACCTCCTGTTCACGATAGAAATGGGACCTTGTAATTTTCTTTGAAATTTGTATTTTTGAACAATTTTGAGGACAGACAAAAAAAATCAAAAACTTCTCTGAGTTTCCATAAATTTCTGTGTTTATCCTTTTGCCAAATAGTATAGATAATGAAGTCCGTATTTGTATTTTGATATCCGGTGTGAGCAGTAAAAAGCTATTTGAAATGCTGTATTTAAATTACTTTTATATTCCTTCCCATCTTCCTACTTTCCATCTCCTCTCATTCAGAAAAAGGAGATACTGGTATGATAACTAGCTTTCCTGCTTCAAATTTCTTCTTTGCCTTCCATCCATCGTGTGTTAAATGTTAGAATACCGTAACAATTTTGTTCAAGTATAGTAGTATGAATTCTACATATTTACAAATAAAGCAAAGGGTGTATTATTACTTTTTAATAGGAAGACCTACAGTTTTGATTTAAAGAGTGAAGTCTCATTGCATATTTAAGATGTAATTCAATTCAGTTAAGTTTACATGCAGCTTTCTTAGAACGAATCTGTTGCATAACATAATACACAATTATAACTGGGGCTTAGGTTTTTATAGCAAACTTAATCGTAAAACTTGTTATTCAGATGTGGTTCAGAGATACTGGTCCAAAATATCCTTTAACAATCAGAATATCAAATTCCACAGGCATAGTTGATAAAGGGAAAAGTCAACAGTTGCAGGAGACTATTCCAAGCATCTGAAAAAGGAGCAAAAGCCCTTTAAAACAATTCTTAGTGAAATAAAGCAAGAAAAATGTGACCTAGAGGTAACAGAAAGCTCACTCCAAAATAATAGTTACTGAATACAGCCCGGGTCCCCAGATTAGAATCTCCATTCTGGGCAAGTATTTCCTTTAAAAACCCCTAACTTTAGAACATAGTGATTAATTAAAAAAAAAAATTTTATTATGGAAAATTTCAAGCACACATAAGAGCAGAGGTCACAATATAATAAACTCCTTGTACCCATCACTCAGTTTTAATAGTTATCAGGGAGTTGCCAGTCTTGTGTCATCTGTACCCCACCCACCCCCAGATTATTTTGAAGCAAATCTCAGACATCACATTATTTCATCTGTAAATATTTCAGTGTGTTTCTCTAAAAGATAAAGACTTTTATAAAAAACCATAGGCACGACACCATTATCACACCTAAAAAATTAACAGTAATTCCTTAATGTCATCAAATATGCAGCCAGTGTTCACATTTCACATTTCCTCAATTGTATTAGAGTTTTTGGTTTTGCTTTTACAGTTTGTTCGAATTTGGATCCAAATAAGTTACTTACGTTGTGATTGGTTGATAGGCCTCTTGAACATCCATCGATTTTCTCCTCTCTCCCCTCCCTCCCTCCCTCCCTCCCTCTCTCTCTCTCTCTCTCTCTCTCTCTCTATTTTCCTTGCAATCTTTTGTTGAGAGAATAAGTCATTTGTTCTTTAGAGTTTCCCACTGTCTGGATTTTGCTAATGGGGTTCCCGAGGTGTCACCTAACCTGTTTCTCTGTTCCTTATATGTCTTGTACATTGGTTATTAGATCTAGAGTCTTGACTGGTGTCAGGATCACCGTCTATTTCACAGGTGGTATGTGAACTTCCACCAAGAGATTCATAACGTCTTGTCTCCCTAATTGATTCGCCTTTACATGATTTTGGTGCCGTAGTTTACAAGTCATTTTTAGGTGCTGAGAACTTGACTCTCAGGCACAAAGCTGCTCTATTTGGAGTGAGGATGGGAGCCCCAGAGCCCTGTGCCCCTGAGCCATCCCCTCTCATCTCTCTTTGTCCCCTGCATCCGCTAAGAAACCTCCTGGGAATACCAGGTTGCTGGAAGAACCTAGTTTGAAACCCACGACGGTAAGCAATGTTTGAAGCCACGTTAAACTGTGAACCAGAAGCTGCCTGACTCTTCAGCAAAGACTAATCACTTTTCGTTAGACAGCTGGAATTAGACAGCTGGAATTTGGGGAGCTTAGTTCTCTTGTTCTTGGCACAAAAGACGTAACCTTTAATTCCATAGTCACAAAGTCTACGATTTCAGCTGTTAATTAATACAGAGTTCCTGCTCTTTGAATATTTTAAGGATATTTTTTCCAAAGATAGAAATAACTTCTCTCCATAATGAGAAATGTAATAAGTGCCCACAATAAAAGTGAATACTTAGACCAGGGCTTCTCCATCTCTGTACTAACATTTTAGACCCGATAACTGTTGTGAGTCTGTCCTGTGCTTTGTAGGATGTTAGTAGTATCCCTGGCCTCTTCCCACTGGATGCCAGTAGCATTCTGCTAGTCACGACCACCTAAAATGTCTCCAGACATCGCCAAATGCCCCTGGGGGGCAGAGTCACCCTCTATTGAGAATCACTGATTTAGACAAACCAGAAAAGTATAAGAAACAAAGTTTGCAGAAAAGCCACCCGGTTTGCAGACTTTCAGTCCATGGAATACAGAGGAGGACTTGCAAGACTAGGGATGGAGCTGAAAGCCACAGGCAGATAGCTGGCATGAGCCCTTGGATTTTAAATAGCATTGAACAGGGATCCATGAGACACAGTAATACTCTATTGTGAGTGTGTCGATCTTACAGAAGGTAGTGGGGACGACTCTCAGTTCAAGTACCTCCTCAATGAGGTGGGACACATCAACACGCAAGATTAAAATGTATAAGCCGCCCGTCTTCAAATGAGGTACTACAGCTTTCCTGAGTCAGGGCCGTGTGTGCTTTCTGTGTGTATGGTGATATGTATGCTGCAGGCTATCAGAATAGACAGGTGTAGAAGAGGATTATTACACAGACCTTGTGTGTGCTGAGGTGGCTAAAGAGCATGCAGTTATTTACAACTTTATTCAGCCTTGTGGAAGCAAATGGAAAGCTTATTCTTATCCTTTACGGATACTTATATCTCAGAATTAAATTTTTTATATTGTACCCTGGAAACCTCTGTTAGACCCGTATGTGCTTTTTAACTTTTGGAAAACTGAAGGAGATACTCTTTGGGATTTTTAGTCAGCCAGGGCCGTGTGACTAAAAATGCAAGTTCTCGGAAACACCTTAACTCCATCAAGTTCAGTATCAATGAATACTTCAAGGTTATTTGTTGGTACTTAGTGGAATCTGGGTCTTGCGGTTAACAGCCAACAGATTGAGGGATTGAGGGTCTGATGAATAAGATTAGGTGCAGGATATGAAGACAGGATTAAAACAGGAGTTAGCGAAGGGAGAAACATTATCCACTTTATCATTTTTGCCTGGATCTGTACTCATTTAAGACAAAATGTTTTATGATAAAAAGTCCACAAATACATTTTTTTAAATAAATTTATTTGTTTGTTTTTATTTTTGGCTGTGTTGGGTCTTCGTTGCTGGGCACGGGCTTTCTCTCGTGGCGAGCAGGGGCTACTCTTCCTTGCGGTGCGCGGGCTTCTCATTGTCGTGGCCTCTCTCGTTGCGGAGCACGGGCTGTAGAGCGCAGGCTCAGTAGCTGTTGCGCACGCACTTAGCTGCTCCTCGACATGTGGGATCTTCCCTGGCCAGGGTTCGAGCCCATGTCCTCTGCATCGGCAGGCGGATGCTCAACCACTGCCCCACCAGGGAAGCCCCACAAATACATTTTTAAAAAAACCTCTGTTAGAATGTGTGCTCATTTTAGCGTTATCCCTCATTAGTGTCGTTCACCTCTTTGACGCCAAAGTGATTTAAATTCCTGATACATATGGAGGCACTGCTGTTGCACCTGTTCCTGGTTTCCGGTTCCCTCTGGAATTGCCACTTTGCTGTGTCCTACAGATTGATTACTTCAACAATCAGATCATCGTGGACCTCGTGGAGCAGCAGCACAGGGGCATCATTGCCGTCCTGGATGACGCCTGCATGAATGTCGGCAAAGTCACCGATGAGATGTTCCTGGAAGCGCTTAACAGTAAATTGGGCAAACATGGTCATTTTTCCAGCCGAAAGGTAGTGTGTATAATGAGAACTTCCTCTCGCTTTGATCATTAAGATTTTCCTCATTGTTTGACAGAATTAAATGACTTTATATGTTGGGTTGAAAGAATGTCCACTCAAGTGAGAAGGACCACAAACATCCATGAAATGATGTATTGCTGTGGATAAATTCTGCCTTTCTGGTGTATAGGATAGCGAGATTGATAGACATCATAATGTCCAGGAGAGGGAGCTCTAGACTATTCAATTTGCTAGAGGTAGGAAAAATGAACATGATTCTTTAGAAAGCATGATGTCATTTATAACCAATAGACACAGAGTCCTTGTTCATGTGCTAGGATTTTGCTCCTGCATCTGATAATTCTGGCACTGAAAATAGCTTTTGTCCTTGACTTTTTACTGCAATCCTCAGTTATAAAAATGTAGTATGTGTTTTCTGCTGTAGTTCTTCCGACTACGTGACTTCCTTGAAAACAGAGAAATTCCAGCTGAAATCCTAGTGTTACAAGGCAGCTCATTCCTTAAATGAATGGTTATCCTTCTTAAGTCCCTATTTTTCACATTCTAAAAATGTTATAAGCAGATAGTATCTCCATGATAGTTGGTGGCAGTCGTGGTTATCCGACATTTGTGCTGTGCCTTGCATATAGTACGTTTGCCATAATACTTGGCATAGAAGAGACACGCCATCACCCCTAGGTGTTCCCTACAAATGTAGGCTTGTCTAGCAACCATAAGCTGAAGGACAAACAGGCCCCATTCTTCTTCACTTCCAGAAGGAAAGGGGCCAACGTTTCTGCTCCTCCATAATTCCATATAAATCTATGACCCACTGCCACTTTTTAGCACGGATAAATCTGTATTCTGACTTTGTCCCTTCTGAAATTATGTAGTCGGAACAGTAAGATTCCCCAACTAACTGGAGAAAGCACAGATCATCAAGAAATAGATTACTGGCTGATATTTTTTTGAGACTAGTTTATTTCTAAAATATTCTCCTCGGTCTGTTACTGAGGACTAACTTGTAGTGTGCTGTAAGTCAGCTTTCAGATGCTACAGTCTGATCTTTGACATTAGGGGTCTAGCTAGGGTTATTCCTTCAGTCATTTCCTATTTGTAACACAGATACTTAAGTGCGTCTCATTTTCCAGGTACAATCCTGGGTGCTGGGGACAGAGCAGTGAGCCAAGTTAGAAGCCACGTAAATAATTTAGAGTGGTGCTTTTAAAGACGGCATGATTACAGGGCAAATGTCCTGTCTCTGAGGGGTTGGGTATAAATGTCCTTTATAATCACAATTCAGGTTTTGGAGACTCGCCTGGCACTGGTAGGCAATCTGTGTTTGTCAAATTCAGTTGAATTGGTCACAGTCATACCAAATAGATCTTATGAAATATTGAATTCCAAACTAAAACAGGCAAGGCTCCGCTTTGTTTAAATAAATAACTATGATTCTCATGTGAGAAATCACTTCATTTTGTTATGTTTCACCTTGGCCATTTACACACTCGAATTTATCAACCAAATATTGTGAAATATAGTTTCATATTTACAGTAGAAACTGTACGTACGGTGCTTTTGAGCAGCTGCTACTGGCTTGATAGGAAATGCTGAATAGTAATTTATCTGTGGAGGTGGAATTTTTTTTTTTTTTTTTAATGTGGGAGCCCAGGTTTTCCCAACTCTCAGACCAGGTGGCTCCTTTCTCCCTCAGCGTCCTCCCCCAGACAAATCCTGAGATGGAAGTTTTTTGTGTGTTCTTTTCTGGGATCTTTGCCTAATGAAGGAAAGAAATGAAATAACCAAGCCGTCAGGGTATTTTCATCACTATGAGTCTTTCTGTTAAATAAATGCTATTATTCTGTATGTTAAAGCAGGTATTATCATTGCTATTGGTTATTAATGATTAGCTAGAATTATCGGCAGGCTAAATAAGGAGTTTCTGGCTTATGCTTATTTAGGGGCTAAATTGTTCCTCATGCCTTAAAGTTATCATGGAGAGGCAGGCAGATGATCCAATAAACCATAAAATAACTGTAAAATATTATTAACATATAAAGTTGAACGATAAATACATAACTTGTATTATTTTTTATAAAGTAAAGAAAAATCTAAAAACTTCTGTGTTTAGATCAGTTAAGACTTTGCAGTATCCAAATGTAAGAATATTCAATTATAATAGCATAGATATCTCTTGGGTCCTTTTCCTTTGGGCATTCTATAAGTAAAAGGGTTTTGTAAAAGTGGTTAATAAGAGAGAGAGAAGGAAAGAGGAATTAAATGAGACCCCTCTGCATGTTAGACACTTTGGTCTCCATAGTTCATTTAGCCTCCAGACCAACTCTCTGAGATAAGTGATTACTAAAGGAAACAGAGCAAGTAGGTGGTAGAGCCAAGACTGGAACCTCAGAACTCTGACACTAACTTCCTATAATTATTCATTTGTTGAATTAATAGGCTCATTATTCCTTTAATAATCTAGACATCCACATAGAACCCACCAACCTGGTTAGGCTTGTTTGTTGTCTGACACTACAAGTCAAGTGGTGTTTGTATGTAACTGCACTCAATGCTTATGGATTCTTAGACGTCTGCTTTTGAATCTATAGGATATCAAGTGATCCTTCACAGGGCGCTCAAAGAATCTAGGTGCTACTGTAATAAGGAAATTGCAGAAAGTTATAGAGACCCAGGGCTATATAAAAACTGCCTTCCTATAAAGTTCCTCTTCAGTGAGAAACAGTCGCAGAAGGTTGATCTGCGAAGCGATAGACCTGGAGTCCCGGCTTAGCAGAAGACAGGTGAGCCAGGTTGTTGTGTACGTAGGAGAGTACAGACATTGCATTCAGTCCCAAGAATCCTTCCCAGAGCTACCGCTTACCAGCTGGACCTTGGGCCCGTTACCTAATCTCTTTGAACCTTAGTTTCCATGTATGTAAAAGAGAGCCCATAATACTTAGTTTAGATGTCAGTTGTGAGTATGGAATGAGATGTCCATGCCTAGGAGATAGCAAACCCTCAATATGATCCTCCTTAAGTGGGACATGGAGGAGAAAGAGACTCTGTCAGTCAAGGTAGGCTGGGCTGTGTTAAGATAGCAGCCAAGATTTAAGTGTCATAGACAATAGAAGTCTGGTTCCCTCCCAGGGAACCAGACTTCTTCCATCTTCTGGCTCTTCCAGCCCCTGGGGACTATTCTCTGCATCCAACTAGTGGGAGGTGAAAAGAAAGTACAGAGGAGAATCACCCACTTCTTACCTGCTTTGGCCTTGAGCAGCCTCAGCTCGCTTGAACTCACCTTCCATCATCCAGAACTTGGTCACTCGGCCAAGAAATGAAGTCTGACTATGTGGACTTCTGGTGAAAGTTCTCAGTCTTTACCACATTTGCCAAATTAAGTCAAGCCCCACTCAGTGTGATTTCCTTCATAATGATATCGTGATTTGTGACATGATTATCCTCTCCTATTAAGTTGGAATATATTTTTAGGAAAGAGAGAATGTCTGTTTTCAAGATCATCCCCTTCTTGATTTCTTAGCTCTGCGCCTCGGACAAAATCCTGGAGTTTGATCGAGATTTTCGAATTCGACATTATGCGGGTGACGTGGTGTGAGTATCTTACTTTGGTACCCGATGTGATGATTTGCATGCAGCCTCACTTCAGAAAGTATAGTCAAGGAAAATGGAAATTGCTTTTGTATTCATTTGCATTTTCCAGCCATTTCATATGCCAGTATATTTTAATTTCTTCACTTAAAACATTGGCATAGCTTCATTCATCCCTTGCTTTTCAAACATTTATTGAAGACACACCACGTGACCATACACAGTTCCTGGCATTGTTGGCACACTCAAGTCAGAATCAGCTGATGGTTAAATAAACCATGGAAGTATGTTAAGAACTGGGATAGAAAGGTGGGTAATATGGGCCGTGCCCTGAAGAAGCTAACAGTTTAGTGGAGGGTACAGGCAGAATACATGATAAGTCGTTATAATGGAGAACAGAAAGGGTTAAATTGGAGACACGCAAGGCATTGTGGGAACACTGAGGAGGAGTAATTAACCCAGAGTGAGGACTGTGGCCAAGCCTTGTAGGAAGTGACGTCCCAGCTGAGTCCTAGAAGTAAAAGAGGCTTAGCCAGGAGACAGAATTAGGAAGAGAAGAGCAAGAGAGGGCATTCCAAGCAGAAGAGATAGCAGGCCTGCAGGCCCAGAGGTGAAAGTCACCATTGTACATAAAGAACTACTAGTGGTTGGGTAACTATATGAGCAAAAACCAGTTTACCATATGAGTTTTCAAGTGTTATTTGAAGAAGTGAAATTCTCACAAGCTACATTTTCTGATTATAATACAATAAAAGTAGAAATTGGGGAAGAAAATGAAACTAAAAAAATATAACCGCCTCAGTATTTTCATTTCCTAGGGCTGCTGTAACAAATGACCACAAATTGGTGACGTAAAACAGTAGAAGTTTATTCTTTCACAGTTCTGGAGGCCAGAAGTTAGAAATCTAGGAGTCGGCAGGGCCACACTCTGGAGGCTTTAGAGGATTGTTCCTTGCTTTCCCCAGCGTCTGGTGGCTGCCAGCATTCCTTGGTTCGCGGCTGCATCACTCCAGTCTCTGCCTCTGTGGTCACACTGCCTCTTCCTCTTCAGGGTGTCTGTGTTAAATCTGCCTCTGTCTTAAAACTACACTTGTGTTGGCATTTAAGGCCCACCTGAATACACGGGATGAATTTCTCCTCCCAAGGTCCTTAACGTAATCACATCTTTTACCATATAAGGTGACATTCGCAGGTTCCAGGGAATTTGACATGGTTGTCTTTCAAAGGTGGCATTTTCCAGTCTGCTACACTTAACTATGTTTTGCCCACCCAACACTGCTTACTATCTTGTTTTTGTTTGAAGTCCCCTCTTTTCCTTTCTGCTTATTTTTTACATTAGGAATTCTATTCATGTAACCCATTACAGGAAGAAATTAAACGACGACAGAAAGCAAATGATCGTCTCTATAAATGCCAAAAAGACATTTGAGGAAATTTTAATAGCTGTTCCTGATTTAAATTAAAACTCTAGAATCATAAAATAAAATGGCTCAAAATTATCATCCCCCCTCTGTCAAACTAGCCGTTAGCGCTGGGATGGCACCATTATCCACTTTTTCTGGTGCTATTTCCAGGTTCCAGAATACTGAAGAGGGAAGATCCAGTACCACGCAGATATCTGCCTCTGAAAATCCAGGCCTCACTTATAGGGTACTTTTTATACAGCCCAGGTTGGCATAACTGCAGAGCTGGACAGAGGCCTTAGAGAACATGCAGGGCATGAAGAAATTTACGCAGAGTGTGTAAAATTCTTACCCAAGGTCACACAGCAAGTTTATGGAATAGCTGAGACAATAACTAGGCTTTCAGACTCGCAGTCCAGAAAGCTAGCCAGCCCCACAGAGGAATATTTGATGCCTCAGACTTGCCCTCCTCTTGTTAAGCTCTTCAACCCTTTTTCAGATTTTTGCTGGGAATCTTCTGTGAGCACAATACTTTATAAAGTATGGTCCCTGCCCACAAAGAGCTTTCCATGTAAGATGCATACATACATACGTGGTTGTGTGCATGTATTTATTAACACGCACTCCCATATATATATATACACATACACACGTTTATATGCATACACTGATACAGCAAAAGATGGTTGAACATAATTGCCATATGAGTAATAATGTGTTGTCAGAATTCAGAATAAGCAAATGATATAATACTTCTAACTGTGTGTGGTAAACCCAGGAAGGCAGATGCTGGTCCTTGGGTGCTAGGAATTATTTTTATAGGAAAAAGGGGAAAGGAGGCTAAAAATATTTAGGAAGTAGTAACTAGGCCCATTTGACTGGAGTGTATCCTTTGGTGGCATAGAGAAGTAGAAACGCCTAGAAAAGTAGATTGAGATCAAATCACAATGAGTCTTAAAGGCCAAAATAAGGAGTTTGAAGTTTGAATTGTATGGGTCCAGTGATAGATGAAGAGTCAGGTGACTTCAAGGGCTCAGTCAGAAGAGACTTGCAGGTATTAGGAAGAAGCCCGAGGTTGGAGGACGCGAGGAACTAATTTTGGACCTGACGGCCTTAAAGTACGCCCATGGGCGGCACAGCCTGAAGGAACGTTCTTGCAGAATTAGACACGTAAGGCTGGAACATTGGTGCGGGGTCAGGGTTCGATGCGATTGACAAGGAAGACGATACAGTCAGGCAAGAAAGGAGAGCTGGAAGCAGCGGCTGCCTCTGTAGGGTTGCTACTTACCCAGCCTCCTCTCAGCCTGCTGTAATCATGCAGAACCCTCCCTTCCTGTTATCCCCACCTCATCCCCCAGTTTTCTCCCTCTAGAGCCATGCCAGTCACCGCAGCAGAGCAACCCCCATTCCTGCCTTTGTCACCAGCTGCAATCTTAGCTGGACCTTCAAGACGTTGCTCGCGTCCCTTCCTCCAAACCATGGACACTGACCTTTTCACTTCCTCTTGAGCACTCCTCGCATGTGCCTGCTCCCGCCCTTTCATTTAATCGGTTTCCCTGTGTGATCTGCCTTCCTCTTTCTCTTCTGCTTATCCAAATCTTACCATCCTTTGCAGTTCTTCTTGGATTCTTTTCTCCCACCCTGAGCACAGTGAGCAAGCCTTAGGCAAGTCATTTGACCTCCCTACGGATGAGACTGTTAGATCCTGTACGTTGCCGTTTTGCTTTTATCTTAGGAATGCTGGATGATAAATACAGCTGTCTTTTTAAAAGTCATCGTCTTGAGGTAAGCAACAAACCAGTAGAGAATGATGATCTTAATCATAATGATGACACTGATGTTTGCTCTCCTTTTGAGGACTAGAAACAGCACCCCCTCTGTACAGGAGGTGAATTTGTTATTCTTTAACCCAGCACTGGGTGGACAGTATTAGCTTTATAGATGATTGGTTGCATAATTTAACTGTGGAAAGGCGTGTAGACTTCTAGAAAAGCTTAAAAGTGGCTCTTGCTTGGTGAATAATGTGTGTGTTTGTTTTCTCTCTCAACTAGCTACTCTGTCGTTGGTTTTATTGACAAAAACAAAGACACTTTATTTCAAGATTTCAAGCGCCTCATGTATAACAGGTAGGATTGAAATTTTATTTTTTGTCTTTATGTTAAGCTCTTTGACATGTATATTACGTAATATGTATGCGCGTGATTATTTTATGTGACGATTTTAAGAGTTTCTGGAAATTTTTCTAGTTCTGCTTGATCATACTTAATGAGTGAAATAATATATTACTTTATGATGATAAAATCTGTAAACTTAGGGCGGGAACCCTGTTATTAATACGACGTTCCTTGATTTCCCTTGGGTTGCCTCAGTTTCTCTGTTCATTGCCGCCATCCTCCGACACCCCCGCCGGTATACTTAGCAGTCCCCCGGCCAGGCCAGTGGCCATGGGAGAGTGTCAAATAACCTCTGGCCCAGCCGAAAGCTTTACATACTCAGATTCCCACCGTAGTGTCTTTGTAGTGTCTCCAGCCAAGGGACCACCCTAATATCAGAGTGGCTGTGGTGTCAGTGGTGATAGATCCCGAGTGGTCAGAATCTTCTCACAATCCAAGAAAATGTGAAAAATCTGTGGAGAAATAAAACCAGGCAGAGGATAGCAAGTTCACACCCAGTACGGATGCCTTGGAAAGAAGGCCTACGAAGAAGAGAAGCTTCCTAGCCAGCTGCTTCTTTTGGATTAAAGTGTTGTCGCTCGCGTATTAAGTCCACTCAGCCTGTTGGTCAGTAGTTCAGACAAGGTATGTGGAGCACCTCTGAGCTACACGTTCTTCTGTGCTCTTGGGGTACAAAGCCCCTGCCCCCCTGAGGTCTTTTATTCTAGTGGAGATGACGGTTAATAAAACAATAAAACAACGAACTTTCAGGTGGTAACAAGTGCTGTGAAGAAAAGTAAAGTAGGTGAGAGATTGAAGGGCACAGACCAGGAAGGGCCGGGGAGGCATTACAGGTAGGGTGGTCGGAAAAGGCTTCTTAAAAGAGGGGCCATTTGAGCTGAGACCTGAGTGAAGTGAGAGCGTGAACCATGAACATGGCGAGGAAGAGAGGGAGAGCATTCAGGCAGAGAGAAGGGCTAGTTCACCAAGGCATTAAGGTGGGAACGAGCTTGGGTGTGTTGAGGACGGGAGGAAGGCCAGTGTGGCTGAAATCAGTGAGGGGAGGGGAGAGCGATTGGGAATGACTGCAGAGAGGTCCACAGGGTCCAGCTCATGAAGAGTCCATGAGCCAAGCATGATGGGAAGCCATTGGAATGGATGATGTGATATGATCTCTATTTTAAAGAAATCATTGGAGCCGCTGTGTAAAACCCAGACTGTAAAGGGCAAGAGTAGACGTGCAGAGACCAAGTTGGAGGCTCGTTTAGTGATCCAGGCTGAGGCATGGATGGGGTTACAGAGATGATGAAAAGTGGTCTGAGTGGGTGATGTTTTGAAAGTAGAGCCAGCAAGATTTGCTGATGGATAGGATGTGTGATGTGAGAAAAACAGAAATCAAAGACGATGCCTGAGCAATGGGGAAGGGATGCTTGATTGTGGGAAGGACAAGAGGAGGCGCTCATTTTGGGGGGAAATCAAGAGTTTCGTTTTGGATACGTTTTGTCGGAGGTGCGTTTTGGGCGTCCAGTTGAAAATGCCAAATAGGCGATTGTTTGTGTGCATTTAGAGCTCAGAGTAAAGGCGGGACTAGAGATGTAAATTCATGGTCACCAGTCTATTGATAGTATTTAAAGCCATAGTCCTGGGTGAGTTTGTCTAGGGTGAACAGAGAGAAAAAAATAAAAGAGAGAAGAGGTTGGTTGAAAAATGAATCCCTGAGATACTCTACCATTTCGAGTCAAGCAAGGAAAGAACTAGCAAAGGAAACTGAGAGCACGCCTGTGAGTTAGGAAGAAAGCCAGGAATCTGGTGTCAGGGAGGCCAGGTCAAGTAAAAAAGATAAACTGTGTCAAACACTGTCAAGAGCAGAGTCCTATGAGGACCAAGATTCACCATTGGATTTGCAAACATGAAGGTCATCGGGACCCTGACAACACTGGCTTCAGTAGAGTCGTGAAGACAAGATGTCTGACGGAAGCGGGTGCGAGAGAATGCAGGAAATGAGAATGTGGAGAAAGTGTGTTTCAACAGTTCTTTCAAGAGGTTTTGGTATAAAATGGTTCATCTGTATGGATGAAGCCTCCGAGAGCAGAGATGGAACCACCACCACTAGAAAGTCACAGAGATGTGGGAATGTGAGAGGGGACCCACGTAAGAGCTGGTTTGGGGAGAAGAGAGTTTCAGAAAGAAGTTTCAATGCTCAGTTTATCAGGTAAGATGCACCCATTTTGAGAGAGAAATCAAAGAGTCTGGCATTGCTCTGTGTGTAGATAAGTCAAAAAGTCAAATCAGGAAAACGGCCTCAGTCGGCCAGTGACAAAGTCAGGGTGTGTTGCCCGGGGAAGGCAGCCAGGCTGTGTACCAGGAGGCTGCACAGGGTGGCATTGGTTACCTTCTTGGATTATCACAGCCCAGAGGTTCAGCTCACAGAGAACAGCTGCACCTTCTAGTGGTGGATTCACGTAACCCCCAGCTCACAGGACCAATGCAGAAACAGACCAGCGAGCAGATTTATTTCCAGCGGACAATCTAACGGTCTCATGGTGTGGAACACTTGCATGGGGATAACAGGCTCTTCTTCCCTATTGGAAAACCTGCCTGGGAAGTCAAATAGAGCTCTGTTAATTGACCGTGAAAAATATCACCTATAGAATGCTTAATTGCTTGGTAAGCCTGGAATCAGAACAAAGGAACTTAGATAAATCCAACAATTAAGGGCATCAGTCTAAGAAGAATCCATTTCACAACAGGGATGGTCTTGCCAAAGGTATAAAAACATTAAAAGTCTGTTCATTGCAACTTGTATATATCTCCGTAGTAGTAAAGGCCTTGCCAGGGGGATGGAAAGTCTTGAAATTATTTTGGTTAAAACCATCCTCCTAGATGGTGTTTAGATGGGCTACCTTTGCCTTTTCCATGCTTCCATGGCTAAATGACCTTTCCAGATTCAATCCTTTCTTTCCTTATATCTGTTTAAAGAGTAATCCCTGGACCTCTAGTTCTGTAGAGTATCCATGCATGTGTGCAGGCACATGCATGTGTGTGTATATATAAAGGGAAGGAGGCAAGGAGCAAGCAGGTGGCATGCGAGGTGCACAGATCGCTCTTTACCACTCTCTCGTTAGCCAGCTAAGTTCCGCCTTATCTGTTATACGTACTGGGTTTCTGGATAAATAAGCTTCCCTTTTAAGGGAAAGTTTCTTTTAAATAAGTTTGAAAAGTATGTTGACTTACTGGCCTGAAAGTTCTTTTTCTTTAAAACAGTTTTATGTGTCTGTTTTGATTCATTATGCATCAATTCTACTGTTTAATAATGTAATAATAATAAACATCTTATTCCCTTCATTCTCAACATTCCCCCCTCCCTTCATTTACAAGGTAGTGTCTGAAACAAGACCAAAAGGGAGTAAGGTGCAACTGAGGGTAGAAAAGCCAGTGATTTTCTGTCTTGGATGTGCATCAGGATTTTCAAAGTGCACACGCTCTAGTTTCTGGAAATTCTATTCCAGAGGTGTTAGGAAGGCATCCAGGCATTGTGGGCACTAAAGGTTGAGAACCATTGCCTCAAGTTCTCTCTCTGCTAAAGATTGAAATGGAAAAGTTAAGGAAAAGCAATAAACATTTATGTGGTTTTGTTTTTTTTTTTTTGCGGTACGCGGGCCTCTCACTGTTGTGGCCTCTCCCATTGCGGAGCACAGGCTCCGGACGCGCAGGCTCAGCGGCCATGGCTCACGGGCCCGGCCGCTCCGCGGCATGTGGGATCCTCCCGGACCGGGGCACGAACCCGTGTCCCCTGCATCGGCAGGCAGACTCTCAACCACTGCGCCACCAGGGAAACCCTATGTGGTCATTTTTATTGATACGTGTATCATTGGAAAATTATGGAATAGGAGTAGAAGGTAATAAAACTGGGTCCATGAACCACAGATCATGCATTATTTTATAGCCACTTTTGATGGCAATGGCGAGGGTTAGGACTGTTTTTCTTTTTCTGCCTTCATTCACAGACGCAGTCAGTCTTCACCTCACCGTTTATCTTCCTCACTCTTGTCATCCATTCTGGCAGTTTGCTGCTATTATTTAGAGCCTTTTTGTACAGAAATTTACTAGGTGTTTGGGAAACCAACTCAATTTTCTCGGTTTTATATCAGGAAAAGAAAAGTGGGCAAAATGATGGCAGCAGTAAACACATTCAGGAAAAAAAAAATCCATGTTAGGTCTTTTCTATTGTCAATCCCCAATTAAAAAAAAAAAAAAAAACTGATGAGAGAAAAATTTCCAGGATGCAAGCACCATTTCGAGTTCCAGTTACTTTAAAATCAAAAGCACCCAGTGTTGTGTTCGTTTCAGGTGTACAGCAAAGTGAATCAGTTACACATGTACATATATACACTCTTTTTTAGATTCTTTTCCCATATGGGTCATTACAGAGTATTGATTAGAGTTCCCTGTGCTATACAGTAGCTCCTTATTAGTTATCTATTTTATATATAGTAGTGTGTATATGTCAGCCCCAACACAACATTGTAAATCAACTATAGCTCTCCAATAAAAATTTTTAAAAAATCAAAAGCACCCAAAATGAACCAGGAAGAAAATCAGAGCCGAGACCGCTGTACATGTTTATAAAAATGTCTCCACTGAGCCAAATAAAGAATACAGTATATCATTTTTAGCCTGAAAACTGGCCTTAAGTACACTTTAAGAATTGGATTGCAGCCGTCTTAGTGTCACATCAATAAAATATTGTAACCGCCGGTGCTACCTATAAATGTGTTCATAATTCAGCTGCAGTAAAGGGATTTACTAGATGACAATGTAAAAGTGGTTATTTTCTATTCCTATCTGTGTTTTTTGAAAGACCTGGCTTTTTGTGACCTATACTGTATGAATATTTGTTTCAATTAAAAGATGCTTTCTCTTTCATGACTTCTGCCCATGACATTGAGGATTGTTTTCCTACTAGTGGTTTGTTCTCATTCTTTTAACGACCACCAAAACCATTTTATTTTAGGTATATGGTATCAGAGCTATGCAACCATTTGAGGATCCCGCATAATAATAACATGGAGGTCACTTTAAAGAAGTTTAAAGAATTTTTCAAATGTGGTCTCGTTTGGACACATCTCACTCTGTGGTGCAGTGTCTGTAATTATACTCTCAGCCTAATTTTCTGGATGGAATCATTTTTCCAATCAGGGCTTGTGAGTTCTGTCTGCAATGCAATCGTGGCTCCCAGGATACAGTTCAACAGGATTGCTTAGCAATTCATATTCAGCTTATATGAATGTAGCATTCAAACCACTCTTTCTGTGCTTCTCAGTTCAAATCCTGTGCTGAAGAATATGTGGCCCGAAGGCAAACTGAGCATTACAGAGGTGACCAAGAGACCTCTGACTGCCGCCACCTTATTTAAGAATTCTATGATTGCTTTAGTAGACAACCTTGCATCAAAGGTAATTACTGTCTTTTTTAAATATCCATTTCATTTCATAGATTCCCTCTTGATGTATGTTATAGAGAATGTATGTGTGCTTTGCTTTGTAGGTGATTATAGTAAATCAAATTTAAGAACATATTAGAAGTGAGTGTTGCAGTAGAATTCTTAATCCTGTTTTGTTTGTTTGTTTTTTAACATGGCTTGGTAAAACAGTTGTTTGTGTCCCAGATGAAATGCTCTTCTTAAATTTGGGCCTTTTATCCTACTGTAGTCATTAATGGGAAAGTCTTAGTAAGACCTTTAAAAAAAAAAAAACAAGCAGTATACTACAGGCATAGTATATGCCTGACAAAATAAACTTCAGCCCTGTGCTGAAGACAGGGCCTGGCTTAAAAAAAAAAAATCTTGAAATAAATTGTAACATATACCATCTTTCTGTTGTATCTGAATACAAAATGACCAGACAGAGGTTTAAGAGGAAGTTTAGTATTTAAGTATTGTCCTTAGGGTGTTTGAAATAGTTGAAATGAAAAGATGTATTATTGGCAGTTATTTCTGCTTTTTATTGTTCCTTTGAGGTCTAATACTGTTTGATAACTTCAGTCTGGGATTTTTTTTCCCCTTAAAGAACAGATTTCTACTCTTAACTGCTGCTGTTGACAAGTTTGATAAATTAGGCAGCATTCTGGGACTCATTATTTTTAGTGCCTTCATTTTTATCTTTCTCTTCTGGTGCTTTTCCAGTATATTTTTTCGTCTTCATTTTTAACTTTTTTTTTTTTTAATCAACTTCCTCTCTAAAAATTTAAATCTATATTATTTTTGGTTACTTCCCTGTGGATAAATTAGGCAAATGCCACAAGAACACATCTATTCAGTAGCTTTCTGTTCTTTTCGTCAGGATTCTTTGGCCTCAGGTGACAACAGATAAGCACAATGTGTTGGTTTGTATAATCAAAAATCCAGAAAGGCAGGGGGAGGGGTAAGGACACAGGAGCGTAGACTAGAATACCCTTAGGGCCCCTCCTCTTGTCCCTCAGCTTCTCTCTGCATGTCAGCTTCAACCTGTCTCATCCAGCAAGAAGGAAAGTGAACCTAGAAGGAACGCCTGGGACACAAGAAACAGAGTTGAACACAGAATTTTATAAAATGTATTTTATACAGTACATTAATTATAAATATATTGTTTATAAAACATATTCGATTTGTTCAATTAACTAGAAAAGAATCACTTTTGTTTTCTAAATTTGGTAGTTAAATGTGAATTTTTAAATAAAAATTCTAGAACCATCTATAATTTCTGTATGGCCAATTGCATTCAGCTACTAAACAACTGAACCCTCCTTCCCCAAATTAGTGGCTTAAACAAGAGAGACAGGGCTTCCCTGGTGGCGCAGTGGTTGAGAGTCCGCCTGCCGATGTAGGGGACACGGGTTCGTGCCCCGATCCGGGAAGATCCCACATGCCGCGGAGCGGCTGGGCCCGTGAGTCATGGCCGCTGAGCCTGCGCGTCCGGAGCCTGTGCTCCGCAACGCGAGAGGCCACAACAGTGAGAGGCCCGTGTACTGCAAAGGAAAAAGGGAAAAAAAAAAAACAAGAGAGACATTTATTTCTCTCTCTGTAAATGAAGTACAGGAGAAGTTATCCCAGCACTGCTATAGCAGCTCTAAGGTTATTAGAGACAAGTTCCTTCTGTCTTTCTGCTCTACCATCCTAGTGCTTGGCATCCCTTCTCCTGGTCCAAGATGGCAATTGGAGCCTCTTCCCTTTTAAAGAGACTTCCTGGAAGTCTCATATAGCACTTTAGCTACATCTCATTTGCTGTACCTAGTTGCCAAGGAAGCTGGGAAGTGCCTTTTTATTCTGGTCAGCAGTGCACCCACTTAGAAGTAAGTTTTCTGTTTTGAAGTAGGAAAAAAAGTTACCGTGTGTGAGGTAGGCAATGAGTCTAGCAGTCTCTGCTACAGCTCCCCAGGCTGTGTGAGGTGGGGGAATGAGGGAGAGAGTAGGGACAAGCAAAAGAATAGAGACAACCTATCAGTCTAATAGAAGGCAGGAAGGTGGGCAGGGCAGAAACAAAGGAAAAATGTTACATTTAGAAAATACATACATGATAGAAATGAATCTAATTAATTGGTACTCACCATAAATGTAAATAGACGAAACAGACTGGATAGGTGGAAAACCCAGGTATAGGCATACCTTGTTTTATTGCAATTCACAGGTAGTGCATCATTTTTTACACATTGAAGTTTTGTGGCAACCCTGCAACAAGTAGGTTTCCCAGCAGCACTTTCTCACTTGTATCTCTGTGTCACAGTTTGGTAATTCTTGCAGTATTTCAAACATTTTCATTATTGTTGTATTTGCTATGGTAATCTGTGACCAGTGATCTTTGATGATCTATGACTCGCTGAAGGCTTAGGTGATGGTTAGCGTTTTTTAGCAATAAAGTATTTTTAATTCGGGTGTTGGTTTTTTTTTAGGCATAATTCTATTGCACCTTAATAGACTAGTGTCATGTAAACATAACTTTTGTATGCACTGGTAAACCAGAAAATTCGTGTGACTTAGCCTATTGCAGTATTCATGTTATTGCCATGGTCTAGAACTGAATCTGCAGTAACACCAAGGTTTTGCCATGTTGTTTATAGGAGCTACCTAGTTGACACTACGCAGAAAGATTAAGAACAAAAAGGTGGGTAAAGATATATCAAGCCCCCCCCAAAAAAAAAACCTGGTGAAAGCAATATTAATGTGAAAAAACATAGAACTTAAGGGAAAAAAATTATTATTACAGATAAAGAGACGATCATAATAAAATGAAAATACTCAATAAAGACATTTTGAACTAGCTACCTAACAGCACAGCCATGATGGTACTTGAACTCTATAAAGCAAAAAAAAAAAAAAAAAGAACCTGAAAAAATGTAAAGGACAAAATTGACAGGTCCACAGTCCCAGAGGGAGATTTTAAACCAACTCTACCAGAAACAGATAGATCAAGCAAAAACCTTAGTAAGAGTGCAGCAGCCAAATTTAAACTCTATCTAATAGATCAAAAGATCTCTATACCCAGGGGATAAGAAATACATATTCCTTTCAGGTATACATGCAACATTTACAAGAATTGACCACATGCTAGATCACAAAAGAAGTCTCAACTGTTTTAACAAATGTATATATAGATGCATCTCCATCCTCACAGCAAATGAAATGAAAATCAGCATTAAAAAAGTTTTGTTTTTTTTTTTAAATCTGCTTGGGAACTTAAAAATACTCCTAAAGCGGTCTACTTGTTATGCCTTTATTTAAAAAAACAACAACAAAAAAAAAAAACAAGGAAGACTGAAAGTAAATGAGTTAACTTCAACTCAAGAAGCCAGAAAAGGAAATCCAAAGAAAATCTAAAGAAAAAAATTAAGAAAATAAGTTTTAAATAGCAAAAACTAAAAGTAATCAAAAAATTAATCAAATAGACCTTTAAAAAACTTACTTTAAAAAGAGAAAATAATGTTAAGAATGAAAAAATGCTACTTTATATACTGCAGAGATTTTTGAAAGTATCAGAATATTATGAACAACTGCATGCCAGTGAATTTGAAAAATTAGTTTTCTAGAAAAATGTTATCAAAATTAACTCAAGAAGAAATAGAAAGCCTGAATAAATCAGTAACCTTAAAGATTCTGAATCACTAATCAGAAGTCTGCCTTCCCCCAATTCTGCCAAGAACTTCAGGCCCAGATGGTTTTACAGGTAAGTCTTACAAATCCTTCAGGGAGCCAGTAATTCCTATCATACATACACTGTTTTCGAGGAAGGGAAGAAGAGAGGCCACTACCCAATTCATTTTATGAGCTTAATATTACCTTGGTACAAGGTTAACATGAAAAAATGAAATTAGAGATGATTTTCACCTAGGAACATCAACATGAAGAGTTTTAAAATACATGTAAGTAATGCATTTTCCAGCAACAGGGTGAACAAAACACCCCCTAAAACCAACTGAGAGCAACCAAAAATTGGTAAGTTATAAAAACCAACTTCCTGAATACGGTCACAAACTAACAAGAAAGCAAAGAATATGCAGGCCTGGTGCTGAGTGAAGGCAGAAATTAACTGAATGAAGGGAAAAATAACTAGAGCACCAGAGCTGCTTTCACCCTGTCAGCATCTGTTGAAGCGGGTGACTTTGAGTATCCAAGGCTGGTCCTTGGAGGGAAGCCCAGGGCCTGCCCAGAGTAGGGTGACTAACAAGAGACCACAAACCACATGCATACTCACACATATGTACACACACAACGGTGGGTCTCCAGAGGGCTGCCTCCCCAGAGAGCTACCTCTAGAATGAGCTAGAAATAACCCCTCATTATCTGAAAGGAAAACTGCCCGTCTTGGTCCTTGGCACTGAGCCAAGCAGGGTGGGTGACCATCCCTTGAGAATTTATAATTGTAAGCCAGCTTTTATGAGATTTGCAGTCCAAATTCACACTACCTGGGTGGCCTGAAAAGGCTCAAGCCTGGTCAATTCAGGTCTGGTATTGCCCCCAGGCATCTGATGGAAGCAAGGTGAGGGAACCACCTTCATTCCAGACCTTAAAGAACTTCCACAGATGGAGTTCTAAGGAAAATAAGGAGTTCATAGTGCTCTGCAGCGGGAGAGGCCACAGCAGTGAGAGGTCTGCGTACTGCAAGAAAAAAAAAAAGAAATGAAGGGCCTAAAAATATGAGAACTAGTAATTGAGAGCAGGTAACTAGGCAATTGATAGAAATAAAAACTAAATAATTAAAACTCAGTGGATAGGTTTAACATTAGTTTAGACAAAGCTGAAGAGAGAATAGGGAAATGAAAGAAACAATTGAAGAAATTATCCAGAATCCCACTTAAAGAGACCAAGAAATTAAACTTATAAGAGACACATTAAGAGACATGAAGATAAAATGAAAAGGTCTAACATGCATCTAACCAGAGTCAAACAAGGAGAGGAGAGAGTGGGTAGAATGATAGAAGGAAG